ACGTTTTGTGCAATTTCGCAATTTCTGTAAATACATAAAAAATCCGCAGTCTGCTTATAATTACACGATGGTATATACACATATACACGCGTGCCAGTTTCGAAATTTCATCATTTTTCTCTAACCGTATTCACTTCGCCGCTACACTCGAAAAATCATACGAATTGATTGGCGATAACGTGTCCACACTATCGTTTCAATTCTGAATAAGTTTAATTTCATTCCAGCAAAATATTATTTTCCAAGGACCGCTGCCAGAACGCGATCGAACTGATTGTGAGATTGGAGTGTTGCTCGTAATGTGAACACATACAATCTAAATAATAATATTTCGTCCAATAATATTTCAACCAAGAGCAAATCGATAGCGTGAAAACCGAGATTAATTCAGAGCGGGAGTTTTTTTTTTTTATTTCTGCGAACCTTTACCTTTGACAGCTATGCGCATGAACGTAGCACCCGAAAAAAATTGTATTTAAGCTGAAGAAAAACACTGCACCAAGTTGATAAGGTTTCAGAAAAAGAAAGTATAAGAATTCTGTAGAAAATGACGATTACAGAATTTAAAGAGAAACGTGTTAAGAAATAAAGGGAGAATGAATTAATGATTTAAATCAACAACGCTGTATTATTGTTTGGTAAAATAAAGGTTAAAAATTAGACCAATACGTATATACGTGTATTTAGAATGAAAAGTTTAACTGAACGAATAATAATGAAAAATAATTTGACACTGCCACGTCACATTTACATACATGATGCTCTCAGGCAAAGCACAAGAGAATTTTCATTATTCTGAGCGTATAAAGACAGAGTAATAAAAAACATGGTTATATAAGATCATTGCCTTTATTCATAGTGCTTTTCTCTTGCTGACGGCCACGCGTGGCCATCGTGCGCCCTTGGTGCAATCTCGATAACTATATTTTGTATATTTTGTCGCAAGTATCAATAGAAATCGTTAGATATAGAGAAGACGCTTCTTCATTCTTCAAAATAGGTCCTTCAATGGACCTAGTCACGGAAAAAATATTATCAACGTTTTTAAACATGATAAAGAATTTTCAAAAAAAAAAATCCACGATACGATACAAAAATCATTATTGAAAAAGAGACTGTTAAATAATAGAAGCTTTAAAACGAGATCAAGTGGATTGTCATACGTACAAGTTTTCTCTTACAAAGTTACAATAGTTCAAATTGTCGACAATTTTTCATCGTTACTGTGCTACTCTTCACTGGAGTACACATATGTACGTGAAAGAAAAGCTTCTATTCGTGTCTAACAGTTCAGATCTTGGAGTAAGCGTTCAAAGAACACTAACCACGGGAGGACTGTGTAATGCAATAGCTGACGCGTGAAGTGAGCGCGCGAATTCGAAAGGGGCGATCGATAAACGCTCGGCGAAATGTTTCAATTTTTGGAAGGCGAGGTTAATCAGCGGTGTAGGGTTGGTTTGGCGGAGTAGGCGATGGAATCGAGGCGGGTAGATTAAGAAGGGGAAAGGGCGTGAGGTCGTATCGCCGGGGAAATTTCGACGCGGTGCAAATTTTATGTCGGTGCCAACCGGACGGCGAACGAGCGGCCGTAATTGGATCGATATTACGGAGGCAACTTTATACACCGGTGGCCCTGCAATTTCAATTTTGAATAGCAATCGCCACTCGTTACGTGATACGAGAATACAAAAAGCACAGTCGAATTTTCACAATTGATCGAATCAGCTTTAGCCGTTGGTTGGAATCGAATCGGGCAACCGCGCTTGTTGCCGCATTGTCAAATTACCCGTGAACGCTCACCGATTTGACCTTTTTTTTTCTCCTCCCCCGCTGTACCCTCTGCCGCTACGTTCCATTCGATTCGAACGGTCCAATGCGTTGAGATTATTTGCCTGCCGGTCTTTCCCTTTGCCGCGCGACTAACGAAACGATTTACTACTTCGTTCTCGAATCCCCACGATAATAATAATAATAATAATGATAATGATAATGATAATAATGATAACGGGAACGGAACAGAAAATTTCCCTCGTCGTCCGTGACGCCTAGCACGAATTGTCTTTCGTTGGAGATTGCCACGTTGTTGCGGCCACACTCCGTTGGCCAGTGATTTGCATCGACGCTTGTACCGACACGCTAATTAATTTTCTCGTGTATCGAGACGACACACACCGGCGGATAAAGTTTATCGCGAGGCCGAGAGGTCAGAGACTGTCGTGTTGGATCACAGAGACGAAATTGACCACGGACTTTCGGCAATTTCACGGCGTGGCGTGCAAGTAATAAACTTACTTTCCTTCGTAATTGATTGGAGAGCACGTAAAAGGGAAACTCGGAACGTCGGCGATTGTTCGTAGCAAATAGCGCGCGCGCGCGAGCTTGATCGACGCCGTTGCCAGTGTTGGAGGAAGAATGGAAGGATCGAGAAGTTGGCCGATGAAATAATCCCTCCGTAGACGCGTACCGTCTCTTCTCTCGCGGTGACGATAATTTTTCTCCGTCAGTTACGTCGCCGAGCGTGAATAGAAAAAGTCGCGTCGCGTCGGGAATCGGAGACACGGGCCAATTAGCCGCGAGGAGAGTTTTGTTCGGTTCGAGAGATTCGGTTGAAGTAAGTTTTGCCCGGCATCGTGCAAAAAATACCCGATTCGCAGGATCGCGGAAAATGGCTGGAAATTTTATTCTGAGGGGAGTGAAAAAGCTTTGGGTTTTGCTATCTGTGAAATTGACAAGAAGCTCGAGGCTCCTCAAACTCGCCGATGGCTGCGGCACCCTGCTCTAGTGTTAATCCACCTCGGTGATTTGGTATCAAGAAATATTGCAGTTCACTGGAAATAGTTGGACCGCGATTTTTGAGATTCCTATCGTATCGAGAATGGCGCCACTTATGTGGCGCGTAATGACCATAACGATAATGGGTCAGAGTAATATTAAAACTCTAGAGGAGCGGAGAATCGATCGCGAGCTGAACTCTCGCCTGCTAAATCTTATAAATAGACCGCGGATTTTTATGCATTTTAAAGTGCATAGAAAATTGCCGTATAATTTAATATATTTAATATTATTATAATTATAAATATTATAAATATTATTATAATTTAATATTATTACAACAATCAATCTCATTATAATATTATTGCGATACAATATAATTACATTACTATTATAATTATTCATTATTAATTAATTACACTCATATATCAATGCTACATTTCGATTATGTTGTTACATTTTAATAATTCATTACGCATTGCAAGAGAGTACTCGTTCCCACCCACCAAACCGCCAAAATTGAATTAAATCGACATTTCTGTCGATCGTGGCGAAGCCTATTGTCACCCGAATCGGCGAGAGCGACGGTTAAAGACGTCCAGCTGCGAGGAATATCCTGGCACGCGAGAAAAATAGGATGCCCTGTAAATCCGGGGGATTTCATTTGGCCTAGCGGTTGCCGTTCAACTTGTGCGTGCGTCGCCGATGACGGTGTCGGTCCGGGGATGGAAAGGAGCAAGGGATTACAGGGGCAGGAGATATTGGTCAATCCCACCGGCTCAGCGCTAATAACCGTGGAACACGAAGACGAGTTATGACAGGTGGTGTCGTGGGTCGTTCGGTACGGTGGAATTGCGTGGACGACATGTGCCATTGTTCGACGAACCCTCCTCCTCCTCTTCCTCTTCTCTTCCCTTCTTCGTCCCATCCTCTCGTTCCCTTCGCCTCGTATACGCGTCCCTGTACTCCCCTATGCGTCTTCTGTTAGCGCATCCCGGCTGCAATCCCGGTCGAAGGTGCTGACGGTTTTCCAGCCAACTCGCTCCTCTCGCGTAACATCCTGAATCCACATTATGACGCAATCATACGTCGTACGTCCATCCTGCGGCAAATGAAAGCACACTGCGCGGAATAACATCGGCATTAAAGGGGAAATGTAGTTGTAAACGATGGCGAATCGTAGTACTCTGTTTTACGAACGAGTGTCGTAAGAGAGCCTGATCTCGCCGAATCGGAGAGATATTTTTTATTACGATCGAGCAGCACCTCGATGCTCGTTTCGCGGCGAAATCACGAGAGGTGCTTTCAGTCTGAGCTTCGACTTGGAAACTTTTTTGATTTGAATTTATTCTTAATTTCTTCTTCTTGAATTCTTTCTTAATTATTATTCTTTATTCGTTTAAGTGTCAATACAGAATATGTTCAACAGTTATATGCAAGCAATAATTATAATAATCACATATAAAATTACAGAAGACAGAACCAAAAATAAGCTGGCTCGATTACTATCCGAGCTGCTTCTAATTCTGATATCACTGCGAGGTTTCGTATGAGTTTTGAAAATGGCACATATAAAATATCGAAATTACAGCATTTTTCACAACGTTTGAAAAACGTAAAGATAATTCTTTTACCTTTCACCTCCACCTTTTCAATCGCACATTTAAAAATATAATAAATTTGCAATAATACAATCCGCAGTCTAGCCAGGGACACTCGATCATCGTTTCGAACGAGAAAAAGAAAAAAAAAAAAAGAATCGCGCTTATCGTTAAGCTGCGAACGCGATTATAATCACGGTTCAATTTCTGCGGCCGGATTTTCGTCGTTTCCCGAAAATGCGCCGGCGGTCGTTTGATCATGGCTGTCGGTAATCCATGCGGCGCCTCAAAGCGACATAATTATTATCCCTCTGTTCGAAGTTTCCGTTGAAAGCCCCCGAATCGGGAACTCCTCTGCCAGGAAGCGAGCTAAAATCGATCGGATCGGGTGGGCCGCATCCGAGCACGTATTCCGCTAATCGATTCGATTCATGCGTCCCCTGCACGGAATTTCAATTAGCCCCCGGAAGAATACTCGAGGTCGTACGCGATAATAACGACGTAAGCGTACGCCGGAGGGAGGCCTGTAGACACAAGCGGATAGACAAGCCTCCTCGAACGAGAACGCGCGACGCCGTGTGTACATACATACGTTGCTGGAACGTTAACGTGCCGATGGTTTTCCAGGTGATGATAGCGGCACGCTGCGGAGGCTAAAAAGGTGGCTGTCACGGCGGTGGCTGAAGAAGTGGCGAGGTTGGTGAAAATCGGCGCCGGGAGCGGTCGATCCGGGCAGCAGCGGTAGTGGTGGCGGAACGGCAGGGGTAGGTGCCTCGTTTATTTCGAAAGCGGCATCGGTCACTCAACAGTAGTGAAAAATGACGATTCGTCTGTGCGAGATTATTCATACTGCGAGAAATATGAGTGTCCGGGGTGACGGATACACGCAAGCATCGATTTCTCTTAGACAAACCCTTGAGTATCTCGATTTCAAGAACAGAGCGACGTGCCAAAGTTCATTCAAAATAAACAGCTCGATTCTTTTCCACTATCGGCCGAACGACGATCCCTCGTGACCGTGCAATAGTTGCGTTATTCAATGAGGAACATGACTGAACCGCTTCATCTATTTTAGTGATTCTTGAATTTGTCATTTGTGCCGGGCGAGCCATCTGAAACTAGTAGTTGAAATATTCTCGAAACGATTAATCGTGTCAAAAAAAGTTGAATGGTCTTATAATTATTATCTTTTGATAAGGTCAAGTTTCAAACGAAATCGTGTGTCTTTTAATACATTCAACAAATCAATTCAGCTCGTCGTTCCCTATAAAAAAAATTACTAAACCACTTATATCGAAAAACCATTAGTTCAGGAGATATTTCAATTGAAACGTAAAACTTGTTCAAAAGTTGTATTTCTTTGCTCAATTTCATGTTCCCTTTAATTCTTTTTTTTTTTTTTCTTCTTTTTGTTTTATTCTGAAACGTTTAAGAAACGTTCCTCTCTTTATTTGCTAGCAGTTTGCTAAAATGAAATTATAAAGGAATTCGTGATTCAAAGCGAATCGATCGCGAGAATAACGGAATCGGTCGGTCGAGAGCCCCGTGCAACGTCTAATATCCCGATAGCTTGGTATGCGGCAACGAGTTCGCTTTGACTTCGAGGCGTAGCACGCCTCGTTTCCTCGTGGAGGTTAGACAGCGCGTTGGGCCAATCTCGAGACCGCGAGCGGACACGAACGAACGGAAGAAGACTGGCGTTGGTTAGCTGCCGGAGTTCCAGTCACAAGTAATCGAACGCTTATCGACTCGAGGAGTCGATTCTCTTCGCTCGCAATCAGAGTAATCGAGTGGCGTCGATAGGAATCGCGGATTGAACCGTTGGCGAATCGATGAAGGCATTATCTCACGGTATTATGCCGCTTTCGTGACCATATTGCTCGATAAACGAAGGAGCGAGAAAAGCAAGAGAAGAAAGAAAAAGAAAAAAAAAAAAAGGAAACGATCTCGACCGAGACGCACGGTTATCATTCGTTCGTGTTACGCGGCCTGGAATGAAGTAGTGCTCGCTCGGTGCAAATTGAAAATATCACGATCCGATAACAAGGGGAACCGTTTTCGCCCCTGTGCTATTTATCAGACGCATTGATTACCAGCTCGGGGAAACGTATAATTATATTCGAATACGCGATTAGAGAGCGTCGGCATAATTTATCGTTCTGTTTAATTGATACGCGATTTCACCTTTCTTCTTTCGTTTTTCCTATTGTTAATTAATCGATTGTCGCGCTTGCACGCCGATTCGATCTTGTGCAGCTACGCCGTGGCGTCTCGAGGGGATAAGATTGCGGGAAATTTTAGGCACGCCGTATACACAATGATCGAGATATTCACTTCGATGCAACATCGTGTTCAACGGTCTGTTAGCTCGGTTAATCTTTCGCGATCCGGGATACAGATATCGGAAGATATACAACCAATTTTTCGTTGAACCTTCAAGTGAAGTGGTAGGTGATTATAATTTGCGTTGCGTTACAAAAATTTAACTTATTCCATTCTATTCCATTTGTTATATTTTATTTTTACATTTTTATTTCACACTTTCTTCCGATAGAGATTAATAATAATAAAATCTCAAAATTAAGCAGACATCAATTTTTATGGTATCACTCAGTATGGAACACTCAGGATTAATGTTTGTAATAAAATATTTATAACATGTATTCTGTCTAAAAAAAAACTTCAACAAGAATACAACACTCTGCAGAGTCTTGAGCCATCTAATTATTACAATATCAGTTATTCTTTTTATCAATAACTCTATTTATTAAAATTAAATTAAATTAGATTCATTCGAATTACATTTTCAACAATTTTTTTGTTTGATTTTATTTTGTTAAACTTTTACGTATCTTATTTCGTATTCTAATAAAGTGTCCAGATACAATGCTGGTATCCATTTACGGAGCCGAGGAGAATAGCAGGATTAAGTAGAAATGAGCAGATCGTGCGAGCTAAGGCTTTGAAAACGTGGTTTCAAAATGAAACCCCGTCGGGTCAAAAAGGATTAACCCCGCGCACCGACGAATCGAGCGTATGTAGATCAGCACGGAAACAACACCGAGGCTCGCTGAGGTAGTTACGCGAGTTTGCTTCTCCGCGAAAGAATATTCGCATAAAGCTGAATAATTCCCCGTTGCGGTCGAAGGGTTGGCCTACACCTTCAATTATTCACACTTGGTCCCCGGCGAATCTCGGGCTGTCTAACCTAACTTACGGGCTCGTTTATGATTTACAGGTACTATGGGAGCGGGGGTATGGGGGGCGGAGGAGGGCTACAAGCCACGGACCTCCGGCGAAGGCTCGAGTCCCGGTGTTCAGGAAGCGCTTGTCCCCAGAGTCCTCGTTTCTTAAGACACGATGGCTCCCAAGTATCCGAGGGGAGCACCCGTGGCCAGGAAGAAAGGTAAACCCTGCCTCTTTCCTTTGACAACCCTAACTTTCTATCTTCGCACGATGCTCTTAACCTCTGCGGTACGGGATTTGCCAGCCGTATGCAAGTTCGTTTACTGTCCACAGCAAGTGCAAAGCAACGTGTAATATATGTTCTGTGATATTAAATTGTTAGAGAAATAAGTATTGATGTAATTTTAACAAATTGCTGAAGTTCAATCAGAAAGTTAAAAAAATTGTGTTGTTGAATTGTTGAATAACCATAACGTACAGTATCTAATGTTACTAGCGATACAACCTTTAATTGGAGAATTAAAATTGAAAATTAAAGAACTAACGGATTTAAGTAAAATTTTATGCACTAAAAAAATTTTCAATACGTATGTCGTTTCAAACGATAGTCACTTCTAAAAAAAAAAAGAATGTATAAAATCCGTGTGGCGTTAATCACTTAAAAAATATTAATAAAAATAGAAACATTATCGGTGATCACGATCGCAGTCGACATACTAATCGGTGGGATTGTTACTAATAAATTGCAAATGTTTATTAATTTATGTTAAAATTTTGCATATAATGTTCAAAATTATATATGAAATATTCGATCTATAATATCTGATTATACATAAAATAATTCCAATTTCTATTCTGCATCTCATTTTTTAATCACGTTCACAAAAATCTGCGCGAACGTTCACAAATTAGTTGGAGAAGAGAATTGTAAAAACGGATAAATGGAAAACATAAACGGTGCTCTGCATAAAATTGTTCGATGAATTTTCTATAATTTTAATCGATGATCGTTTGTTAATTTATTTTAATGGCTGTCGAGTTTAATCGATGATCGTGTACCGATGAGGTTAACACGTGAAAGCAGCGGCCTACAGGAACGGAAATCTTGGGAAATGAAATAATAAATTTCCAATTAAATCATTCGTGAACGAACGTTCGACCGGAAGAATTTCTAATTCCATCCTGTGGCACTCGAGTCCGCTCGAATCGACCTCGAGATCTCGTACAGCGTCTAATGCGGGATAAATTCGTTTTTCCGGTAGAGTTGACTTGCAAGCGACTCTCGCTTCCGGTCAACCGACGTGTACAGGTTCCCGGCCGTGTAGACGACAGGCGAACGAGGAAAATGGACAAGAGAAAGGTTCGAGGTGCTCGAACGGTGGATCCGGCGTAATCAGTTCGCTGTTTGGAAAGCTGCGACTCTTCGTTGGAAGACCTATCGACACGGAGGCTGAGAAAGAGAAAGGAGTCAATGGGAGAAGGCATCGGCTTCGATGGTGTCGCAGGGATTTCCGGTGGATCGCGGATGTGGCAACGAGGATCCTACTCCTCGGTATCGTCCTTTTCGTCACACCAGGTACGTTTCCTTTCTTTTCTTTCTTACGATAATAACGATATTCACCAGTGAATGAGAATACGGGAGTGAAAAGAAACGGAAAATGTAAAATATATGCGTCATGGCTCGAATGTACAATAATTTTTCGATCCTTGGGACAAAATAATCGCGCAACAACACATTTGCCTCTATACTTTTACAATCCTGAAGTCATTTTTTTTTTTTTTTTAATTTGCGATCTATGACAAAAATATCTGTCTCTATGTAAGAGACGAAAATTTAGACTTTAAAATAATATTAATGATAATAAAGTACTTACCAAGAACAAACAGTACTCACTCGACGCAAGATAAAGAAGAAAGTAATGTTAAATTAAAGGAGTCCACGATCACGCGATTCTCAATAGGTCACTTGACGTAGAAAAGTAGTCGAGATCGATGCATGAGAAATTCGCGAATGACAGAGGAATCGTGGAGACGACACGGTCGTCCTTGGTCGCCCCTTGAACCGGGCACGCGTTTGTTTCATTATCGTTTACCAGTTTCTCGAGTTGTACATTAATTAGCGAGGCTCGGTAATCAGAACAAGTCTACCGGGTCACGGTAATAGGTTTCCATCGTCTCTCAAGTACGATCGACCGATCGATCTTGAATTCAGCGTGGCGTGGTTGGATGCGCGTAGACCAGGCCCGTAATGACGTCGATTGAGATCGAGCGGAGAGTTTCCGTCGAGATACCTCTCGTAATTGGTAATACGTATTTGCGTCATAGCGTACAATTACGCGTGCATTCGGTCGTTCGCTCGTGTGTTCCGCCATCGAGCCTGAAGATTCTGTCGAACATCGAGCTGATTGATTTCTCGGGTTGGCTCGTGGAAACGACCGTTCACACTTGGCCCCACGTTCCGCTGTCTTTTCGCTTTTCTTTAGCTTTAGACGGTGCAATTGCCTTCGACGTTCCTTCGAAACCGTTCGTTCGCATCTTCTCGTCAAACCGAGAGGATCGTTTGTCACCGCGAGCGACGCGTCTCGCGACTCGTTGCAATTTCAAAAGAGTTGGCATACACGTCCTCGCGTGTCACTCAGCGGGGAGACAAATCTTCTTTCCATTAATGACGGGACAATCACTGCCGGTGACTAAACATTGTCACGAAAGAAAGGGGAAATGGCGATTCGTCGATCGATCGAACGAAAGAAACGTGAGAGAAACTCGCGACGATGGCGTTTTAACCGATTGAAGAGATAATTTCAACGAAACGAGAATGAGAGAAAGAGAGAGCACCGAGAGAAAACGATCGAACGAAAGAGCCTATATATCGCGTAACCGCGTTTTATTTACGACTGTTGCGGAGAAAGCATGAAAAGCCGCGGCGCATTTAAACGATTTACCGGAACGAGATGAATAAAGCGACGTCAATGCGTGCTCGTTCCAAAGGATGTTTCCACTCCCCTCTCTCCTCCCACCCCTGCCTCCTTTCTTTTTTTTTTTTTTTTAATTCGCGAGCATGCAGCGCAAGCGCCCTTCCCACGCTCGTTAGCTCCATCCGCGAAAACAATTTCATTAAAACTCCGGCTTCCCTTCTGGATAGCTTGTTCAACGCGAGCACACCGTGTCCTGCTAATGACGCGTACACGGAACTGAAAAAAAAAAAAGAACACGGTGAATCGATACGATTAAATCTCACTTTTCTCTCCCCTGTTTTCCGCCTATTCTTGAAAAAAAGCTTTCACTTCCCAAAGGGGGGAGTGGGAGAGTGGCTGATGATATATCTGCGTCGTTCCGGCGTCCAAGTTTACCAAGTTTTCTCGTTCGTAAAAGGAGGAGGATTATCGTGAAATTGACGGGCGGAGGGGGGGAGGGGGGAGGACGAACGAGGTGAAAAGAAGGGGAGGCACCGGGAGGAGGAGGAAGAGGTGGTAAAGAGGGAATATCGCGAGGAAAATTAGCGGAAAAGTTGTTTAATATAGAAAGTTGGGTAAGTCAGCCGGATGGGGACGCATGAAAGGCGACCCATTGTGATCGCCACTTGCACGGGTGTCTCGAGTGGGCCGAGTTGTCGTCTCGCCTAGCAACTTTCCCAGTTAATGCCCAGGTAATTTATTTATTTCCCAATTATTTTCCGCTGGACGTTCTCGGCGTTCGTGGCGCAGGTCGGTTGGCCGTGCGCGGAGTGCCCTTCAACTTCGCCGCCGCCAGTTTTTTAAATTGATTCCGTCGGACGGAATGGACTCGCCAGGCCGTGTAATTCCCGTGAAAAGACCTGAAAAGCCTCGCCGCTTAAGAAGAGAGCCTAATCCCTTCTCTGTCTCGCGTACGCGAACGAGCCTAGTCCCGCCGATAGGTTCGCGTGGTCAAAGGGAATTCGTGATGCCAGTCACCGCTCACGACCCACGCCAGTTATTTCCGTTATTTTCCTTAATTCCTCTCCGGATCGTCGTGGCTCGATCGGTCATAAATTCGGCCGGGCAATCACGTCGATTTCGAAGAGAGTCACGAACTCGAGCAGATAGCTCGGGCAGCCGGCATCGTGCGCAGATGCGTTGCGATTAAATTCCTCCGTAGATTGCCGGGGGCCGTGTAGGTCGGAGAGCGGCACATGGTTGCCATAAATTACGCGTACTCGAGGCATCCGCGCCAGTGTTGGCGGCCAGCGATTACGGTTTCTTCCTCGTACATACGTAGCTTTGCCTTTCGTAGCAGAGCAGATGGCAAGCGATGAAACGAGTTGTAAATGACGTTGTCCCTTCTTCGAGGGTGCGTTGCCCCTCCGCTAATGCCCGTTCCGCACGGCCGCTACGACACGTAGCAAAGCCACGCGAGACGCCGCTGGTCGATCGATCGAGCGAGCCGCGAGTGGAAAAAGAAAAAAAAGGAAAACGCCTCGCCTGTCGTCGTCTGGCGTTTTTTTCGAACGAGCGGCCTCGCGATTTCACCGCCGACTTTGTCGGCCGATGAACCTCGCTGAATCTTCGAATCGACGAGGGCGTTCATCCGCTTCCCGAATATATATATATATATATAACCGAGAGGCATCCAATTACGCTAAATAATTAAAACCTATACCCGAAGCGAAAGTTTACCGAGACGAGAGAATGCTCGTTAACTCTCGGTTAATTGCTTCGCCCTCGTCATCCTGGCTGTAGAAGTCTGCCACGTTCTCGCGTACGCTCCGAGCTTAACCCCGAGCGCGTCTAAACCGTTCGCAACCCTCGGCGCGATACGCCGATCGAGTGCCTCCTTAATTTCACGGCTCGTCGCTGACTGAAAATTTAGCAACGAAGATGAGAACGTTCTTACAGGCTTCCTTGTGTACACGAGATTCTGTCCGTCGTGCACGAACAACAAAACTGCTACTCGTATCTCGTTACGCGTGCCTTTACGTCGTCCTATCGTGTGTCGTGTGCGTGCCATCCACGCATACGAGTGGAAAGAGGGCTGGCTCGATGGATTCGACTACTTCGCAAACGGCGAAACGTCGTTGGAAATAAGAGACGTGGTCGTGTCGAGATGGGAACCTTTTCACTTTAGAATTCTCCTTTTCTCTCTCTCTCTCTCTCTCTCTCTCTCTCTCTCTCTCTCTTTCTTTCTCTCTCTCGTGGTTTCAAATCATTCACCGACGTTCATCGACGATCGTTTTCACTCGTGTCGCTGGCTGGGACGCGCGCGTTCTTTGTGAGACAGGCACAAGTAGAAACGGACGTGTACGGAACAGACAGCGCCACACGAGGACGAAGGGACTTTGTCGAAGATGCGACGCGTCGCGACGTTCTCCCGTGGCACTATACTGCTACGTGTAAATGCACGTGTGTATCGCTGCAGCGCGTCTGCGACGTGTCCGCGAGCAACGCCAACGTGCCAGTAATCCTGACAATAGGCAGAACGGGAGATAGAAGGAAAGCTCGAGTGGCGATCAAAGTCGCGCACTCGGCGGCGCCAAAGAGGAGGGCACTCCACCCACCGCTTTTCGAAACTAATCTTCGACTCTGCTCCCTTTTTTGCGCTTTGTTTGCTCCATTTATCCGCCCGTTTTTCCTCGCTCGCTTGCGCCCCATTCCCCCAACTTTTGCTCGCCGTCGCGTTGCTCAAACATTCGGCGAGAAGAGAGGCTGGTAGACTTTTACAGTCTCGGTCGTTCGCGAGAGCAGACGGCGGGTAATTCGCGGTTTACCAACGACTGGGAAAATCGGGAAGGATCAGACCGGTCTAGGCCGGGCGAGTCCTTTCTTTCCCTGGCTGTAATATCTCATCCTCCGGCGCGCAAGATGCACGTGCGCGCGCGAGATGGAGATTCCAGCGGCTGGCACAGGCCATTGTTACCGCGGACGAGGACAATTTTCACGTCGCTTTCACACTGCGGCGGCCGCTCTTTGGAAATTCTCATTTAGTTTTTTGGGCGAACGCCCGCCTCGAACGCTCTCGGCGCTGTACGCAGCTCCGCGGACTTTTCCTCGCTTTTCCTTCGTTAGGTGAAGCGGTGTAGCGAGCTGGTGTAAAAGGAACGAGGCAGAAACCCGTCGTCTAGACTCTCGTCGAACACCGTGTTTCGTTTCACCCTCCTCTTCGTTTCATTTTGTCCCGTTGCTCGCGTGATGAAGAGATTCCCATTTTTTTAACCAAGTCGTTTCGTCTCGATCGAGAAAGCTGCCGCTTTGAATTTCGCGTCGATCGCGGAAAGACATTAAGCCTCGCGGCTTCGTCGGCGTGAGTCACGAAGCTGTTTTTTCCAGCACGTTCGCGTGGTAAGAATTGAACGACGAGAGGCTATGAAAAAAGAAAAGGGAAAAGAGAAAAAACGGTTGCTCTGAACCACTACCAGCTAGGACTCGGTAATCGCGGTAATGGGACACAAATGCTTGTTGGGCGTTCCCTCCCGGTACAAATTATTATGCGCGATGCGTATGGCGCTTGATGTAAGAGGGTTGTTCCGTGGCCAGATCACGGGGGGTGAACGTGCCGCTCGTTTCGTACGATATCAATAACTTTGACAAGCGGTTATTAGCAATGCTGACGGCGTCACCGTTTCTGCTTATCGCGATCGATACGCTCGATCTCAACTTGTCCGCTGTAGCTTGACCGTTTTTTTTAACGCTTCGAGAAACATACGTGAGACGGAGTGTAGGTATTTCTTTGAGCGTTAGGAATTTGCGTATTTCTCGAAGGAGAAACGAGTGATAACGAGAAGGGGATGGGGTGGAGGGGCTCTGTTGAAGCGCGCATCCGCGCTTGGAACTTCCTGACGAGTCTACAAAGGTCGTAAATCTCCGATATTAACACTAGAACTATCGCCGACCAAAGCGTAAAAATTGTATCTGAGAAATTGGAGTGCAAGGAACAGCTTATGGCGCGATGAAGGACGTAGATTTTACAAAATAATCGCTCGAATCTGTAAAAACGCTATATTGTAAATCTGTAAAGCTGCTTTAGTCGCTACTAAATTATAAACTGGTCATATTTTGATCAGTTTGATAGTATAATATTATACGATACTAAGTATAATATAATATTATACTATACTTTTAAGTATACTAATTCTGTATTAAATATATAAATATATCATTTATTTCTAAAATGTATAAAATTAACATAAATTTGACGTTGCTCCATGTATAGTTTTTTAAATTTTATGTCTGTATTATGTCTTAATGTCCGTTTCTTATTATGTATCTTTCTTAATTTTATTTATTTTATCACTTCTAATGCAAAAAAAAATTTATTAGCGCGATTTTTAACTGCAAGGGTAGTGAATGGATTAGTCTGACTGTTAGAAATTCATGCAGGCAACGTGAAAAATGTCTGTCACTCTCAGGTATAACCCAAGCGGATGTAACGTACGCGGATCTCAAGCTACGACTATTAGCAGCAGCAAACCTTATAAAAGCGCTCTGTCTCGGAAAATACATACTGGGTACAAAGAAATTAAATTCTGGGATGTTTAAAATGACGTGGAAATATTTAATAACTTTATAAAACTTGTTGCTACGGGCCGGTGATCAAAATTTATTTCTGAAAAAGAATAAGTTTATATAAACGATAAAATATAAAACAATAATACATACAGTATGAAATTCTGATCCAATTTATTAGTATTTGAAGTAACTTTGGAATGAAACTATTAATGTTTGTCTCATGAATGAGAATAATATCGTGGGACAAGGATGAAAGAAGCCTAAAGTCTTTTCATCCTAATTCAATTCAACAATTTTTTCACTATATAGAACGTCAGATTAGTCTGTAATAATAAGAGGTTAAGTTAAAGCTTTCACTTTAATTTTATTTGAGAGAAAAGTTTATAATACATTTAATATTATTTATTTAAATACATATTTCGTGCGTCCTCTTATTACTCCATTAGGAATTATGAACCGTATCTGTTTTTCAATCCATCTCTTGCTTTACCTTCAATTTCTTTCTTCGTCGTTTTCACTTATTTCTGTGACTACTATATTAATCGATCTCACTTACTTATACTTGTCTATCTTCATCTCCCTTGTCTTATGATCCATTTGTGCTGTGTATCATCTTTCTGTACTTTCATACTATCCTTGTCTATCATTTAAACGCATATTATTCTTATACTTCATTGTTCTATCTGAAATTTTATATATTCATAACAGAAGATATATTTTTAGAAATTTGAATGATTTTCAGTAAAATGTATAAATAGAAACTTGTGTTCTTTGTTTCTTGTCCCTTGCACTTTAATTTCTCTGCTAGAAACTTTATACTTCAGTCATCGGTAGTTCCAATACTATTAACTATACGAATAAACCTTTGATGTATGATTGTTACTTAAATATTAAATATTTCATATTTAGAGAAAAGACAGATCGTTATGTTTATTTCGAAGTATGTAATAATGTATTTTAAGAGCATATTTTCTTGATAGAAGAGATTTATTTTTATATTTATATTTTTTTATCATCTATCTTCTCATATCGTATGATCATTTATTTTCTGTATAAATTTGGTATCTACCTGTATAAAATAAATAATTAGAAATTTAATTTAATTAAATTTCTAATTTCAAGTCTTCCGTACTATTAATTTTACGCTTACATATGTACAGGTCGAAGAAGTACAGAGACGAACATCTTAACTCTTTATGTCTGACATTTCTATTAAATTTTTGTGGAAGAGAAAATTAAATTTTCTAACAATTTCACGTACAATGGTGCTTTCCTTTGAACCACTACTTTCTGAATATTTCATCATTTGAATGTTATATTACCAGAATACCTAGTATAGATGAACTTCTAGCTACTAGATATTTTGTTCTGATAATATAAATAAAAATATTCGAATATTAATATATTCAAAGAATAGAGATTTATACAAAGGAAACTGCTTTTATTACGTTTATATATAGTAAACTGAAAGAAATAAAAAATAATACACAAAGCAACAACGTTACGCTCTTTTACCATTTATAAATAATTTATAAATGTTCGATTTACATATATACTATAAAGAATTATTGTCACATTAAAATAATGCAAGCGTTACACATATAAAACAGTATTTGAAAGTATTCTCGGGATATCTCCGCGAGTTTAATCTGTCAGTAGATTCTTAATCAACATTTTTTATATTTCAGCTCTTTAGTAACTGTACGAGGAATAACAATCATGATGTTATTCCTCGTTCGTTGATCGATCGCGTGAAATCGCAACGCGAGGCTCCTTGCGCGTTCGTTTACTTTATTCCATCAAACCATGAAAGATGTATCGCGACGGCCTTTGTCGCGCGTAGCAAGAGCGATGCGGAAAACGGGTCGTATTCGTGGGCAACGTGATTCAAAGAGAATAAATATCAAAGTCGTATCCATTATTCGAATGGATCGCATAACGCGGTGGCAGCTCGACGCGAGTTGCGTTCACTTTCCACGGTGTCGCAACTTCGATCTTGATCTTTTTTGCAATCGTTTCTACAAATCTTTTCACGCAATTTTCTATTGCAAGATTTTAAATAGATGGGCGATTCAGTATGATTTGTATCTACAATTAGCTGCATAGTTTTTGAAAGATTGTTTGAGATGGTTTTGCACGAAAGTTGTAGGTAGAGCCAAAATATTTTCGATCAGGATTAATTGTAGTCATCCTCGTTAATAAATTTTTGGCCAGGTTGTAAATTCTTTTATTAATAATTAATAGACTATATTTCCATTCGTACTGGTAGATGTTTGATTTCGTTACTTCTGGTGATTTTATATTCTCTATGTAACATCATAATCGTTTGTTACAACTATGTTCAAAGTTATAATTACCCAATAACTATAGTTAATATGCGTGTACGCTGAATGCATTGTGGTATAATATGATTATAAGATAATGCATTATCAAGTACTCTGAAAATGAATATTATTTGTAACTCTGGCATAACAAATTTTGTATTATTAAAAATATCGAAAGTAGCTTGCCTTCGTACCTCTGTATTGTATCGCGTTATATTTTGTACCTTCGTTTGTCTTGAATTTAGCTAATTTCGGACTAGACAGAAATTGAATTGATAATTGGTAGAAGATTCTATTAACTGCTAAAATAAACACACTTCATTTTAAAGAAAATTAAATTTAAAGATTGATGGAATACACACACGTGATAAAGCGATTATTAACATATTCAAACTCCATTTTCTTAGAAGCAATGGCACAAGTGAAAAAATTTTATCCTACATTTTTCACGTATCCTCGGACCTACTTCACATCCTGGCCGCTAAATTTCACCGAGCGATTCTAGAGATTTTTAAATTTCACAGATCTAGAGACAGCAGTTAAAGATTTTGACTTGACTCGGAAAACTTCGCGCCGAGCTTTACGATTTTTGAGCATCATTAAATCCACAGCCGTGTCCCCTCAAAGTTGATAACCGGTCGGGCAACGTCGCGCAAAGAACCGTGGAATTCCGCGGAGCCTCGTTCGGTTCAATCGTTTCTTTGAAACACCGAGCTGCGCTTTTGCTCGCATAATAACCGGGAGACTTTGAGAACGGGTCGCGAAAATACGAGAGGGTGAAAGTTGCTTCGGTAAATCGCGAAGTTGGTCGGCTGCCGCGGCCTGTAACTCGGCGGAAAAGTTAAGGGGCGCGCGAAAGCCGGCCGAACGACTTTCGCGAAATATCTCTATCGGCCGTCACACAGCGACGCGACAGTCCGTAGTTGGCAAGTTCTCGCGGAAATGCCAAGTCGGAATTTGACGAGGAAGGAAGGAGGAGGAAGTTGGCCGACGAAGGGGCAAGAATCGAGTGTGCGGCGAGTTAAAGATGTGTTGGGAATGTTGTGTGTTTCAGGTCTCTGCCACCAAGACGCGGTGCACATTACGGCAATCCTGGGGGAGAGCGTCGTCTTCAACTGTCACGTAGAGTTCCCCGGTGAGCACCCAGTGCCCTACGTTCTCCAATGGGAGAAGAAGGTAGGCGACAAGGTACGATTCCGGACGACACCCTCTGCTCTCTATATCCGTGAGTTGAGTACGTGGGCCCCGCTCGATGCCGCCCTAGGAGTCTGCGTTCTCGGTATCGACGATCGTATCGTGTCGTGTCGTATCGCGACATTTTCTTTGTCCCAACGAAACCATTTTGCGAAACGAATCGCGCAACCGATTCCGACGACGGGTTAAACCTAGACGGAGTGAATCACGATCCTGCGTGTTTCTTTTTAATTCGAACGTCGCGATTGCGTAATCGGGAAACCGGACGAAGAGAGAGTCTCGCGTATGAATGAATGACGCTCGTTGCTCTTTTTAACGTTTCTTCAGGCGCGGTCACCAACCGTTCATCCGCGTATCTCTTTACAACCGCCTCTCCTGGCGAAATATCTCGACTTTCACAGTGAAAGCCTCTCTCCCTCGTTGGGAACCGATTCTGTTTTCTTTCTTCCTTTTTTTTTTTTTTTGCGTTTGTTTTTGCGCCAACGCGACGCGTCGATATCGGTCCACCGGCGGAAATAAACACGGCGCGTCGCATCGTATCGTATCGTAGCGGACGCGGCACGAGCCAATACGGTTCGCAACGATATCGTTTGGAAAGTACTTGGAAATGGCCGTCCATCCCCGCGTAGTTTCCTCGCGGACGCGATAAGCGACGAAGGCATCCAGGTGCGCGACGGCCGCGTCGTTCGATTCTAAAATCCGCGCCAGGCAAATTTATGGGGGCCGATGGAGGATGGAAAACGGCCGCGCTAGGCGATACGCGGATCGTTTAGTTCGGTAGTTTTTACGCATTCGCGTGGGCGGATTCGGTGTATTCACGCGGCGGTGAAAAATGCGGCGATACCAAAAAGAACGGGCAGAACCGGCGGCAGGAAGCGGGGCCCCGTGAGCACACATTATGTTTCTTAAAGCATCATTGCAATGATTGTCAAACGATACTTTGAGTTGTTTTATTCGATGATTTGTTGGCTTCTAAGTGCTTACGTTTTATTTTTTTTTTTTTTTTTTTTTTTTTTTTTTTTTTTGTCTTTTTTCGTTCGCGTTGGTACTCTCGTTTTGGTTGGAATCGGCGGCGAACGGGACACGCCTCTCGTTCCCAGCTGGAGCGGGACGCGCCACCACTGGCTTCCCGCTCGCGTAGTCTGAACCAATGTTGCGTATTATATATTATACATCGATATATACATATATCGTATATTGTATACTTTGTTTTCACGATATTGTATTACTTGGTATATATACGTATGTATCTGATCCGGACTGGAGAGGGCAGAGCACGTTTTCTACGACCGATCAACAACAAAAGTCATCCGATCACACGTTCTCTCAGGCAATCAGACCGAGTAGCCGACTATAGTTTTACATACCAGTTTCTGTCTTTCATTCACACACATACACACACACACACACACACACACATACACACACGCGCACACAAACAAACAAACAAACAAACACATATTACCTCGTAGCCGCGTTCGCTCAGCGTCGCGATCCCGCGAAACAACGTGCGACGCTTTGCTCACACGCGTGTCACACGACCATCGTCTGGTTTCGTTTCACGTCGCGGTGGTTGGTTAATCAACGCGGGATTCTAAATTCACCGGGAGTTGGTCGTCGATCGATGCAGCTGGCGCTAGCTCACACCGACTCGTCGGCCAGACGACGACGGCGGCGGCGGCGGCGACCGAGGCGACCGATTAATTTTTTATTAATCGCGCCTCACCGTCGTCGTCGCCGTTGCCATCGTTGTCATCGTCACGACGATTCGACGAAGCGTCGCGCGTTTTCGCGGGCGTCGCGCCACTCCGCGAGCCCCCTTTTATCGCGGGAGAGTTCGTTGCACCTATCCGAGAGGGAAAGAGAAGTCGCTCGTTCCTCGTCTCACGCGCGTTCACCCCTGTCTCTCTTATTTCAATATCTTTCTCGATATACGACCTGTCCAGCGTCTCGATCATAAGCCGTCCACGAATATCTCTTCTTCCTCTTTCCTCTTTTGGGCTGTTACGATAATCTGTTCAATCTGTGAGTCACGTTTCTGATTGTCTATCAAGGCCTAGCTCGAAACAGCGTTCCCGCATTACGGCCCCGGCGATCGACGAGATTGAAACTTGCATCGCGTTCGTTGCTCGTTTCCTTTGACCCCTTCTCCGAAGCGAGCTCCCTCGGATCTCGCTTATTGTCAAACGTGGTAAATGCCAGAGCTCGGCTACGCTCAAATCGACCGTTGGATATTTCACGAGGAGGAGGAGGAGGTTACGGATCGTTCGTGGAGTTTGCTACCCCGTCCAGCTTGTCAATCGCCGGGCCATGATACGCGGGGTAATGCGCTTTCACTTGCTCTCGGGGAGAGCGGGAAATCAGGAAATCACGTCTCTGTCTCTCTAACATCTGGTGCTTTGCATGAATCGGTAGCACGTCGCGGCTCCGCTCGGTCTGCTTGCCGACGATCGTTTCTCCTTAAGCGCCGAGGGGAACGCTGGTACACGCGTTCCTCTCGGTTGAGCCTCTGTAGATTCGCGCGTCGAGCAGGCCGAGGGGTTGCACGCGAGCATGAACCTCGTATCTAACATGCTCCACAGGACGAATGGCTCCTCGTATCGTCGGTGTAGCATTAAAAAAGCTATAGCTGCGCCTGCGATGCATTATCTCGTTGTCGCACCACCCTGCATGCCGCAGTTTCCGCCCCAGACGGAATCCCACCGCGTGTCACGTGCGAACGTGCGTCGTTGCCGTTTGATCCGCGACGAATCTCCGGGAAAATACAGGAAACGAACGAGCCTAGACGATCGCCCGACCTAAAAACCCAATGGCTTGCTCCCCGGCGATCGCTTTATTACTGGCCGCGCTGGTCGAATTTTACGTCTGACCGGCCGTTCTGTTCGATCGCGTCGACATAACAAAAGCCTGGCTCTTGGATTAGCCAAGTGGGTGGGGGAGGTGGGGCGAAATGCACCGGTGCGGCGGAAAGTTTTTGCCGGCAAACAAAACGCAAAGCGAGCGGACACCGTATTTCGGGACGATTACCGGCTTCACTGGCCGACAATACTGGCGTTAACCGTGAATTCAATATTGACTCGACAAACCTGCGTGTCCATCGTCGTGCAATTAATTAATCGATCGATCGACAATACGATGATTGCCGCAATGACAATCGCATCCGCTTCCGCGCGCGTCGCCGTCGTCGTCGCCTCCTTTTCTTCCGACGCGACGCGACGCGACACATCGACGGTCCACCGACGGTCACCGGCAACTAAGTGCGCGCTGACTTGTCCCGCTCTCGGATCTAACCGATATAAATTGATCGCAGCCCACAATGATGTCGTTGTCCGCCAGCTCGTGCATCCGCGACCCTCTTAACAAACCACCAGTTTTGCCCGACAGAGACGTTTGTCGGCGATAATCCGCCCTTTGTTCGTCGATTTAACCGGCAGAAGGATGTTCGTTGTATACTGGTGCACAAGGTGATTCGTAAATACGTGTCAATATTTCAATCTACGCACCAATACAAATAGAAAGCGTCACGTGAATGTATGTATATATATATATATATATATTTCCCGGTGCTCGAGTTATAGACGATTGAAGAAAATGTTTGAAATGACAGTCCCGTGCCTCGACACGTGCTACAATACCGTCTCGCCTACGGTAGCGAATTCCGCATTCGCTCGGAAATACCAGATATTCTTTGAATACCTAGTTTCAAATTTATTTTGTGTACTTTCTCGCGGATTGTGCACGACGTGTATATAATATTTTATCAAACGTTCGAGGTTCGTTTTATTCATTGGCAATAGATGGTGTTTTATTTAATTTTCATTCTGGTATCTAAATTTAATGTTCAATGCTGCGTGGACCATGATTTTAATTTAGCGAATTCAATATCCTGTCTGCCTGGACAATGATATTATTTCAATTAACCTTCGTATCAATGGTATTTTAATTTTATTTATTTATTTACACGGATAAAAGACAGGAGATGTAAAATTATTGTGTAATATACGGAACAAAAATTACACAACCAAGGCACAATCAAACGCGAACAAAACAAAAGTTGGTAAATGTGCAAGATCAATAAACTGAGTTAAATGATGAGATAACTGATTAAATTAAAAAATAAAGTATCTACCTAAGAGATTAATATTAAATTATTCTAGTTACAACGAGTAACCAATATTGAACTAGTTTAACAATCGAAACCCACTATTTATCAATGAGTTTTATTTATTTTTTCACTTTTATTTGAAAAAGCTTCCTTATCTTCGCCAATTTTTTTGAGGTGTACGTCTGCCATAAAAATAATCACGAAGCATACCGAAGAAAAGTGATTCTGAAGTTGTAATTCAGCTGGTAGAGAAGAATTGTGTCGATTCTCCTGTATTTTGTCGTTTTGTCACTGTGAATATTATGTACATTAACAACGTGAGAAGTGTATTACTTTTAACTGCATTGTTCCTTCGATCAACAAAATCTAACTCTATTGAAAGTGTTCTTTCATGTTTCTCGCTTCTCCCGAGAAACACACATTTCCAAGATGTACCTTATTTCCCTCGCAAACATACCTTACTTGTATCAGCGTGTAAATTTACCCCCCGACGTATACTTCTGAATCACCCTGTATAAAAGTTTGATCAAAAGACAGGAGGATAAAACGAACGAGATTACCGATTCACGGCCAAGTGGTGGGTTTAATCACGTTGCAAGAATATGTGTGTTCCGTGGAGGAATGGTGCTCGACGAAAGGAGTTAGAGGGTTGATTTTCTTGGCGAGGAATTTTTTTAACCGCAAAACGGATTTGAAAGCGAGCCGGGGCGATGTGGAGCGGCGAAACGATGCGCCACGGCCATTTCCATTTCCCTGGTGATTCGACTAACCCGGCGGGAAGGGGTGCAGCCTGTTTTCTTTTTTATGCGCGCATAAATCACGCGGGTGGCCAGGAGGAGTTCGCGGGGTTCTCCCGTACCGTTTCTGCCCTGCTCCTCGATTCACCCCG